TATATATGTGTATGTGGATAAAAACTTCAAGTCAGAGCACATACCAGGAAATCTTGTATGGTTCTATTGCCGCTAGCCACGCTGGTGCCGAAACTTCAAAGTTGACTTCAAGGGGCAATGCGATAGAGCTAAGATGCATACAGGACTGCAACAGCGTCTTGAGTTCGGTAGCTATGGATTGCCCACATGCAGCCAAAAGCAGTGATTTTATCCCGAGTTAGAATTAGCGTAGTCGATCAGCTCAGTAGCGGCTATTGAATATACAAATACTTCATTCTCAGGTACGCTGGAAGGCCAGAGCTTTGAAAACCGTATCCTGATGCCAAGCGATACAAGCACACAATCTGATGCGACAGTTTACAAACCAATCTCAAATCCGAACTGTAAAGTCAATATGCGCGAATCTTCGTCGCAGTGAATTTAAATTGTGAGGTCAGTACGCGAGTCATACTAGTGATGCTAAACAATGTACAATAGTCTCTCCCGAATAAAGTGTGAAATGGTTCGGACAAGAATTTACAGCCACGCCCTAAATTGACATAAAATACCACTAGCAGGTCGTCCATGAATCAATCCAACCCCGGAAGGTGTAGTCCTATTTGCGTTACCCCCCTGCACTTGCCAAAACATATCTCATTCACTGTACTATTCTAATATCCCAACATGGCCTACTTCTTTCGGCGTTTCTTGTGCTTGCTCCTACCTTTCCCCGTTGGGCCATTGCCGGTCACGCTGCTACCGGGGTATACTTTTGGCCACTCGAGAAGGCTTCGGAATTCCTTATCCGACATGATGTCTATACTGGAGCCGGGTGATTTTTGATGTCGCAAGACTAGTGCAGCCTCATGGCTACCGTCTAATATAGCGTGTTCATAGCATTGTATGCTGCAATAACATCTCTCGCGAGTCAATCTGCACTGACGCACTGCGCTCTTCCTGCAGCCTTCCGTAGAGCATTTGAGTAAAGCATTTGGAAGGCTACTCATATCAGCTTGATCATGTCGCCTAACAAAAACTCTCAGACTGAAGGCAGTGTTGCTGAAACAGGGTAGAGCAACAGTCTGTGAAAGCGTCCAGCTTTTAGCTAACGTTTGCTGAAATTGTAGAGTACCTGTATCTCCATTGATTTCGCCCACATATACAAATGATGCACCTAGTTTATCGGCTAGTTTAAGACAGTTCAGTGCAAGATTTCCATACGGTGGTGGATAGCAAGACAAAACAGCGATATTCTTACTTTGCGCACCTGTGTCCACTGCCTTTGTTTGAGATGACAGGGAGATACTTTCCGGGCCACCAACTTGAACCGTTGCCCATGCACCACTGTGCCCATGGTATTCATTCATTGTGGACTTAGCTGCAGCCGGAACTTTTGATCTCGTTTGGCTATCTACCGCAGATGACGGTGGATCTTTGTCAAATGCCAGATATTCCGTCCGTGTACCATCGTTCTGAGTACTAGCCATGCTCGTGTCAAAGTAATGCTTCCAGTAACCCACGCCAGCTCCCACCTCAACGATGGTGCCAAATTTGGATAGGACATCATATGCGCGTGTGTTTGGTACTGCGAAGGCCATCAACCTTGCGCTCCAGTCTCGCACAGAATCACAGCGCAGAGATATAGGCTGAGGCAACAAAGGATCAGGACCTCTCATTGTTTTCTCGGCATTTGGACTGTCTTGTAAAGGAAAATTGCCAACCCAGGACCTCGACTGCGCACAGATTTCCATCTCTATCCACGTTCCCTGCAGTGCCGCCAACAGAGGATTACTCGTGTTGCAATACGCTGGTTCTCCAGTTACGGCATCAAACTTCATATCCATTGTGTCAAACAGAGTTTTTCTGATAGAGGGAGTGATAGATATAGTTTCCATCATCTCCTTCGTCGGCGGAGTGTGTGTCAAACATGTGAAATATACTTCAGGTGGGGGAATTACAGCTGGAAGCCTAGAGCGCCCTTGGAGAAGATGAAAATTAGTTTGTGCTGAGTATAAGATATGCCAATAAACATTGTCTAGTTCAGCAGCTACGTAGACTCCCCGTGCTTGTGCTGTAAAGTCGACACTTCCAAACCCTCCTTTCACCTTTGATGGTAGAGGCACGGCTTGATCAGGGTTTTGTACTATGTTCTTCGCGCGCTGCAGATGGCGTATAACGGTTTGCGCAGAATGCAAATCCTTTTCATTTTGTAATAAACGACACAGCTCCAATGCCCGGGACAAGCACTTCTTCGTAGTCGTATGCGCCGATGCTGACCTTCTCAGGACCCAACCGGATCCCCACCCGAAACCCTTGACATCAGCTCCAACATTCCCGAATGACCTTGCATTGCGAACCACCACAAACAGCTCGCACAGTAGTCGAAACTGTCGAGTACGCGATCCCGATGACGTGCTTGTTTTCCCAGAGTGGGCAGCATCGGCTATCATATATTTTAGAGTATGAGATGCCGGTCCATGTGCACATCTTCTGCAAGCTGAACTACTCACCGGATGATCTGGAACTTTGACAGCGACTCCGCTCTGTTGATTCGCGGGTTGGGCACTATATACACTAGAGTACTGACTGCACCCGCAGTCTGATTCGACGCATTCTAATAAGCTCCAATATCGTGCATATTTCTTGACTCCTCCCAATGTCGATTCTAAACCTAGAAACCCAAATAAGATTTTCGCCCCCGAACTCGAACTCCTAAGCTCACTTTTTTTCACTACCGCACCCGGTGTCGGTGCGAGTAGGGCTTCGACTTTGGTATTGCTATCTCCGTCATCATTAAATTCATACCCACCTAATCGAGCACGTTTGTTCTTGTTCATTTCTCGCTTCCCATTGCAGGATTTTCTCTTAACAGCCTCCATATCCGTCGTTTGTATAAAGTACAGCGGAAGAGTCTCTCTAGCTAGTAGAGGCAGTTGTCGAAATCGGAGTGTACGATATGGATCAACAACAAAAAAATTGGATGGATTTTCACACATGCGCAGACCATATAATCTGTATGAGTATAAATAGTATAATATACCGGCCGAACCTATTATTATTTATTTACGCGTCCACCCGTAGTCCCATCATGACTCATGAGTCCCAATTCCCATGGCCATCTCCGTTCTCGTCATCCTCTCATGTTTTTTGTTTTTTTGAAAAATACTTTTTATCTCGTGATGAGTGAGTCATGGCGTTTTTATCCAGAGAGACTCCTAAATATTAGGAGAAGGCCACCAGTCGGCCTGCGGCCACCCGTGACTCGTGAGTCCGTGACTGTGTCACACTGTCACTGTGAGATTGTGAGACTGAATATCCGTGAGTCCGTGACTCCTCCAGCTCCTGACATGACGGCATGTAAATACCATAGTATTTACATAAATATGTATACATACATACGTAAATACAGGATGTATTTATTTGGTTTTGTTTTGTTTTTTCTACTCTCTCTCTATAGAGAGAGAGAGATGGGGGGGGGGGCCCAGAGTCCAAAACAGAGTCCCAGGCCCAAAAATGTACCGAACTTCTAGGAGTACCTAACTGCTCAGTAGCAGGCGCACGAACAGAACAGATGTGAGAGAGATAACGCATGTGATATTAATGCGCAATAGGGGTAATATTATTTATTCAAAAGAGATAAGTTACAATGTATGTACATATGGTATGGCTCTCATAGCCGTTGTAGTGGTTCGGGAAAGATCGATGTGTAGAAGTGGTCAGTAAATTCCCATTTGAAGTTAGGGCCAAGTGAATCGACGATAAAGGATATGCACTGGGTCAATTCAGGCCGGTGCTGACAAAGAACTGACACCATCGAGTGTGCCATGTATTCGCTTGCTGACCTACTAAGTAGCGTACCCCCCCTCTGTGGTACGGATCGGGTCTGCACCGTGTAGTGCCGTGGAATGGGTTAGTGCAGAGTACGAAATACAGAGTGGGACCAGGTTATCCGTCATAATTCGGTCGAGGAGCGAGATTGGGGGTGAGCCAATGGCGCACCAGACCACATATGCACTCGGTATGTGCTGGCTTGCCTGGATTAGATGTATCATAGGCGGAACCAACAAGCGAGATGACTTGTTTTGGACCAAAATTTGGAAGTAGTACTTCAACCGTGTGTGACTAGTCGGGGTATGGGGAACATCTGTTGATGTGTCAGAGACATGGTTGTTCTATATGCTGGAGAAATAATCCAAGATGTTCATGGAGGGTTCAGATACCGAGGAAGTTGTGACCTCCCGTAATTGCTAGAGGAGGTTAGGGCCTATGGGCGGTAGTTAAGGCCTACTAGGATGCGTCGGATCAATTGTTGGATGAAGGTAAAGTGGCTGGTGGTGATTTTTTGGCCACCGGGGCAGACAGGGTAAAGACAGCGGTCGGTGCGGCAGTTGAGCATTGTTAACATGTACGTATTCATTACAAACATAGCACAGTGCCGGGTTGGTATAGGCTCAAAGCAGCGGTTGAAGCTGTCGTGTCTAGCTTTGTCCCACTTTGAGGTTGGCGGTTTACCCATGACCAGTTAGTGTAAGATTCGGTCTATTAGAGGGATTGTAACGCCTTAGAGTAAATAAACGCGTAGGTAAATTCTAAGTATCGTGAAAATATCAAAGTAAATAACCGAAATGAAACTTTTAATAAAGTTAGGTTTGCCTCGTGAAAACGGCAATACTTTGAGGGATTGTGAGGCTGAGACATTACATATATATAATCCTCTCAGTACTGTTTCCGCCGATGGGATTTTATTTAGTGTTTCGTTGTCGCTCTGTTAGAAACTATGGTATGTTTCATTGGGGCGAATCTGATAGACTCATAAAATCCTATCTCTAGAAGAAGAAGAAAAATACTCTTGATGTCCTTAGTTATTGTTTTAACCAATAACATGCCACTTATCAAGAATTACCGACTTAGCCTTCATCAGACTGGCACATCTGGTAGCTGATCGGAGGATCAACTAGGTAACGTTAATAGTCCCTAGAAACCAATATTTGGTCGAGCCATCTCGCTACTGAAGTATTCAGTTATAAATAAAGTTGATTAATAAACCCATTAAAAACCATTTTAGGAAACTTAAGTTCCTCGTACTATTAAGAGTACGTTTATAATTTACGTACTGCTTAAGAGTACGTTTATAACATAGAGTCTAATGTGGAGGCCCGGCTATTACATTGGTAGTAGTATTGTCGCCGGACCATTGTCGCGATCTTCTTGTTAGACCAGCGTTTCGGCATGGCAGGGTTTAAGATTTTTTGTGCGTTTTGGCTTGGCATGTGTGGGCTCCATCTTCGGGGGGGGGGGGGGGGGGTAACGGTGTGTTCCAAGGTGCGTCTGCAAGCATCGGCAGGCATGATAAGCCCACCATTTACACGGAGGGTTGACGCCGCGTGTCGCAAGTCGGTAGATCGTACTCAGGGTTTGATGACACCCTGTTCGAGACCATATTTGCGTCCCCACGCATCAATGTGGTCTAAGAAGGGCTGGAGTGAAACCGGTTGGGGTCTTGAATCCTTGTGTCATCGACTAATAAATAAGAGCGGATGAGCTTGGGCCGTTATTGTGCTAGCGTGGCAGCTATGAAATCCGTGTAGATGATAAAAAGCTGGGGGCCGACGATTGAGCCTTGTAGGATGCCATTCGTTCTATGGAATAAAGGCGAGGGCGTGTCGCGGTATGTCACTCGGGTAGTAACCCTCTCAAATAGCGCGCGGAGGCAGTTGATCCAGTTTTCGCGTATTCCAGTGTGGCGCAGGAGTACCCGTAGGCGTGTGAGAGCAACCTTGTCGTATGCCTTGGTAATATCCAATCAGACGTCTTAGGGTTTTAGGGTTCTCTTCTTCCGACTGTGTCTCAGATTCCATGGCGGCGAGTTCTTGGGTATGACAGGAGTATTGTGATTTGAAGCCATCTTGGGTTGCATGCGTAGCAGAGCCGGGGTGGCTCGTAATCAGCTTAAGAAAGCACTTCTCAAAGATGCATCTGACTTTTTGTATAAACGTGATAGGGCGGAAGTCGGTGGGAGAGGTGATTTATGCATCGTCTTTTTTGGGTGCGCTG